TACAACTTTCAAGTGCAGCTCCAATATCCTAGTAAAAATTATTTATTAATTAATTAACTAATGAAAATAAAAATATTTTGTACCTCTTGTGATTTCGATACACGAAGTTGAACAATATGCATCGGCCATTTAAGATTTGTTGATGCAATAACAGTTGCTTGAACACGTTCATTACTACAACGTGAAGCAAATGCAAATGTTGCTCGTTTTGTCCAACCATCTTGTCCAATTGGTGGTAATATCTAACTCAATTTCTTATTTTCTAATAATAGATTTAAACTTATTATTTCTTACTTCAGCTATTGTACATGCAATAGCGCGAGCAGGTAACCGAGTAAAATCAGATGAAATTTCATGTACTAAATCAATTGGTAATTCTTCCATATTACCATAATCAATATAGAATACTTCACATATTTGATCTATATTATTTACATAAAGAATATAGAAAAATAAAAGGAAATTAAATAGAAAGCAAAACCTGAGATATATCGTATAATACGTGCTCGATACCATCGAGCATCTTCCGTATACATTGCAACACAAAAATCACCAGGTGATGGACGATAATGAGAATTTTTATCAAGATTTGAATAATATTCACTATTTCAATAGAAATAGAAATTCTAATTAACAAATTGAAATATAACATACTGTAAATTTTTTGATAAATAATCAAATTCATCTTTTTGTTGATCAATAAGTTGTAAAAAGAAATACGATGCATTTGATGCAACGGACACAATACCTTCGATAGTAGTACCTGATTCAAATTGTTTTAATTGAATTTTACCTTTTTTTTTTATAAATAAATAATCAATTAAAAATAAATATAAAAAATATTAAGATTTACATTTAGATGTTGTCGTTGGTAAAGTCTCCTTTAAAATTGGTTCATTTTGAATTTTATTCTTTGGTAAAACTGTTGATTGTTTAACAGTAACTGGTGATTTTGGTTTTTGTGAAGTAGAGATTGGTCTGGATTCTTGAACACTTGAATTTTGCGATTGATTTGATGGTACTGTCGTACCAAGTCGATTACTGAAAGACTTATTTGTTGATCTCGATGGCACATTTGTTGTAGGTGTTGGTGTTTGTATCTGATTGTTAACTATCGGTTGTGGAAGTACAGATGGAGATTCAATAGATTTATTCCTCGAAAGTGATAATGGTTGTTGTATATTCATTAAATGATTGAGAGCAGGAACAAGTTCATCAACAATATTTGATGTAGGTATATGTGAATTAGATGTGGATAATACTTGTGAAATCTGACGATTTATATCATTATTTGATAATGATTTATTTGTTGATGGAGATTCATTATCAATGTAATCTTCCTAAAGAATGAAGAAAAAAACATAATTATAAGATAAAACAATAAAATTAACGTACTGGATGAAGACAACGATCAAGTAATTGAATGTTTTCCGTTGTTTCTAAATAATAAATATTACCGATTAAAATTTCATTGTTTGTAGAAAATTTCACCTTTTAGATTTGTTAAACATTTTTTTATTAATTGTTTAATATCAATTGTTGTTGCTGAAGTTACACTCGTACGATCACTTTCATCTTGTAGACATTGTGATGATGTTGACCATGCTTTTTCACCATTAACATGTCCATTTATTGGTTTTGACTAAATATTCGTAAGAAAAAAAAGGTAAATTAATATGAGCGATTTTTTAATCTACCGAATTTATCGAGTTAGTTGGCACAAGACGAAGTCTTGTAACAGAATTTTTATTATTATTTGCTGGATTATATTTTAAATCGTTTATAAATGTACGTTCATCAATATTGACAAATAATCCAGATTTAAAAGGATCTTGTCGTTGAAGAATATATTTTGATTTAGTAAAATCAAGTTTAAAAAGTGAATAGATTTGTTCGCATATATCTTTGTAAGAACTATTTATATCAAGAGAAACTCGTTGTTTTTGAGCACCAAATTCAACAATAACAACAGTATTCAATGCCATCTAAAAATAGTTGAACAAAAATGAAAATTGATAACATGAACATTTGAAATTGGGTATTTCTATACACAAATATCTATCGAAAAAAATGATAAACCAATCAGTAGTGATACAGAGTATATATATATGCGTGTATAATTGAATACATAAACGAATCACAATATCATTTTCAAATTGTACACCACATAGTTTATTTATGTGTATCTAGATCGAACTTATGAATTCAAGTTCAATACGACAAGTTTTGAAGTATATCATAGATACTAAGTTATTTTCATTATTCGTTCTTGTAATCAAGTAAAACGAATGATTTATTGAAGCGACATCTTACGTATTGTTATTGAAGTATATAATCATTACTTATTTTCGGAAGAATAAAAAAGATTCTCTAACTTGAAAACTGACTATTATGTTTCCTTTTACAATTGAAAAAAAAGAAAAATTCCATTTGTGACAAAAATCTGCATTTACGAGGCTTCTATTTGTCTGGAAGATGTTTACCTGGACTTTTGTCCCATATTTTAATAGTAGTCAATGCATATAAAAATATTTTATTAAAAGCAACACTTGAAATGCAATGATTTATAAGTTACTGTTAAGTTTCATAAAAAAATAGGAATTGCATATTCATCATCATAAGCAACCAAGATTACCATTTGTGATTAAATCCTGTGAATGATATTTTTGAAAACATCTAAGTATCTTATTATTTCCTTCATTTTTAATCTTTAGAAACCATAAAATCTTTCAATTTGTCTATTTTCAAGATAGTAATATATTCGTCCTAGTTCGTATACCTTGAGAAAAAAAATTATAAAAAAACATATATTATTATGTTATCTATTTTCAAATAGAACAAATTTATACTCAATGACTTTTTATTTATATAGAAATAATTAATTATTTTTAGTTCCATACGATGCTTTTTCTTTTACATATTTATTCTGAAAGCACTTAGAAAGTTTATTTGTATTTTTCATTGGTTCTCTAACAGCTATAAAATTGAAAAAAAAACAACGACATCTTTTTTCTTATATTGATAATTTAAAAAAAAATTATTATTTTTTCCGAATGTTCTAGATAACAACCAAAAGAAAATATTTATTATTCACTTTTTAAGTGCAAATATATTTGATTAAAATCATGTAGTACTATATAAGATCACGAGAATACAGCAGCAGCAGCTAGATAGTTCTTTTTCTTCTGCGCCATTTCATTGATTCTTTTCTTATATTTTTTTTTGTTGTTCTGTTTGACACATGATTATTGTCCTTTATATGTCAGCAA